TCTTCTTCGGACATGATTGTCCTCAAGGCACTTGGTCCCTCTTTAGTCGTGTGCTGGTCTCATGCCAAGCACAGAGCACTTTAGAGAGGACCTGGAGTACTTTCAAGGAGACACTTGAGCAGATGCAACATCTGTCACATGCTCTACTGAGTCATTTAAAGTCTTCCTCATGCAAAGTCCCAGAGCATCTGTTATGCTGCTCCCCGACAACCAACACGACAGCAGATGGGCCAACCCAAGCAGGGTTTTTGTTAAGGGCTGTACCACTGTGGGAGGATCATGTGTATATTGCATACAGTAATAAACTCCAAAGTCCTCAGGCCTGACTTTGCTGATTTCGAGTGTGAAATCTGTCCCTGACCCACTGCCACTGAACCTCTGTTTGACCCCATTTTCTCGCTTAGAAACCTCATAGATCAGGAGCCGTGGAGCCTGGCCTGGTTTCTGTTGGTACCAATTCAAGAAGGTGTCTCCATCACTATCTACGAGGCTCTGGCTAGACCTGCAGGAGATGGAGGCCGACTCTCCAGGGGCAACAGACAAGGAGAGTGGAGTCTGTGTCATCACACCCTCACAGATATAAACTTCCCAGGCCCATCCTGAAGAATAAGGTGTGTACACCTCACAGGGAAACATGGGCATCATAGATGTCTAGAGTGCACATTCCCACCTCTTTCTTCTTCCTAATCTCCATTTGTCCTTACCAGGGATCCAGAGCAAAAGCAGCCCCAGGAGCTGAGCAGGGCACAGCATTCTGAGAAGCTGACTGAGGAGTCCTGGGCAGTGGAGACAAGAACACAGCTGATCTTTTATATCTGACTTGCAGAGATGAGAGTGATATGCAAATTCCCTGGTGGTTGTAACTATGTGAAGAGCCAGGTGAACATAAGCACTGTTCCTGGGAGCAAAGTGACTAAAATGTTGTCTTGTTTGGAAGAAGCCCTGAAAGTCTGTATGGCCTGTAACACTGGGCAGAGGACTCCAGTGTGGAAGCCTTAGCCTGTGGGGAAGTCATGGTAAAAAAGGCTCTGCCACACTTGCACACCATAGAGACCCTGCAAAATAGATGTGAACCCAGAAGGGAATCAGTGAGGGGGAAACTGCTGTTTGTCTTCCTCACAGTCAGTCTGAAGGACAGAACCTCCCCACCACAAGTAGCAATGCTTAATTACTGTATCCTCTCACAGCCTTCCTGTGAATTAGTACTGTCTTCCATTTGTTGTTACCACGGTAGCTATTTACCTTGTTCAATCACCGTTAGGAGCACTCCCTTCTGGGACTTAATGCATTTTCATAGCAATATTCAAATACAAAGGGAAGGACATTGAGAAAAATGTTTCTGCCTAAATTCAGAAGTTCATGTTCTCTTCAGAAGTGGAGAAATTATGCTTCAGAGTGGGAATGTGAGCTCTTTGTAACATTTTGGACAATGTACGAAATACCCCGTCAATTTTCAGTGCTGTGTCTATGCATAAAAATGTAATAGACCTTGTTAGGATTTGCTTCAAGCCATTGGAATGCAATGAACAAGAAATTTTACATACTTGTGGTTTTTCATTTGTATGTGGGTGTGGTAATGGTGCATGAGTGTACGCATGTTCATATGTGTGGGTGCACACGCTGTATGGACGCACGTGTGTGTGTGTATGTGTGTGTGTGCTCTTTGCACACTCAAGTAAAAGGTTAGATGTGTGTATGTGTGTATGCATTTTCATATGTGTGGGTGCACATATCTGTACGGACATATGTGTGTATGTGTGTGCGTGCTTACAGGGCCGCACACTAGAATAAAAGGTTAGGTGTGTGTATGTGTGTCCAAAGTGACATTCGGTGTCTTCCTCAGTTTCTCTCCCCTTTGTTTACTGAGGAAGGTTCTCTCAATTCAGTCTAGACCTGCTGAGGTCCCGTGTACCCTGGGACAGTCTGTGCTTGCCTCCAGAGTGCTATCTTTATAGGCAGCTAAAATGCCTGCTTGGTCACATGAGCTCTGGGGGTCCAAACTTGAGTCCTGAAGCTTCTGCGTCAACAGCATTGCCCACTAAGCTGCCTCTCCGGGCCTAGTCTGCTGTTTCTAAGTGGTGCTTTGATGGTCAGAGGAAAGAGCAGATGATTAGAAAAGATATGAAGAGGAATAAAAATTAAGATCTTTTCCAATAATGAAAAAGGTACAAAAAGGAAAATACACAAAGAAGAACAAGATTCAAATGATGGCATTTTATTTGAACTCTGAGAAAGTAAAACACTGCAACAGAGGTAAGAATGAAAGTGAACAGAACGTCAGTAAGGAAGGGTTGGAGCAGCTCCTTCCTGGATTCTTGAAATTGGCTATGTCGGTTCTGGGCACAGGGAGGGCAGGACAGGTGAGCATGTGGACTCCTCGTCCTGTGGCTTATGCTAGTGTTCAGTTTGCATTAGGTACAAATCTCCAGTTCCTCCAGCACTGTCTCCATTTGCAGCTTCTCTTATTTCCGTACCAGGGGCCTGTGTCGCCCACACTTAGTTTGCACTTTGTGGACTGTGCAATTTCCTTATATCCAGGACCCCAACTTCCCAGATTGAACCAGCTGGAAGGCTGAGCAACAGAGGGTGTTTGAAATGTGTTGCTAGTTTGTGAAGCAATCATAGTTTGGAAATTTAGAGGCAGAGAACATGTCTCTGTACTTCCATGGCCTCCTAGGTGTTCATCATCCTGTTGGGAACAGAGGTGTGTGTAAGTAGACAGCTCTCCTTCATCCAGAGCTCTCGGGGGCGAGGGCAGGGAATGGCAGTCAGGTGGTGTCAGAGGCTGTTTCATCTGCTGACCTCAGGTTCAGGCTATCAAACTCCAAAGTTATTCTCCAAAGAGTATATCTGTTCCCGAACACTAAAACTCTGGCTCTCTTTCCAATTGCACTTCATTGCCTTGGAAGAACCTCATGATGCCTTCACTATTAGCTTCCCAACCTTGGCCCAGCTGCTCCCACACTTCCTTCCCACATAGGACCAGGACAGATCAAATTTGGGCTCCTTGACTAATTTTTTTTTCTATTCTTAGGCCTCCAAAAGAGTGGTTTGTTGGTTTTTAGGCAATCATTTATTGATTTATTGTGTATGTGTGTTTATGTATATGTGTTAACACACATGAGTGCCAGGACAGCTGAGGGTTTCGATTCTTTCCTTCCATCATGTGGGTTCCAGGTGGTCAAACACACTAATAACCTTGGTGGCAAGAGCTGTAACTTTGCCGTCTCACTGGTGCCCTGATTTTTTTAGCCCTTTCCATGGCCTTTCTGAGGATGGTGCCCAGAAACTGCCCCCAAGTTATCTGCAGTGATGCAATAGGATATTTCTCCACTGATGACCCATCTACCACATGAATAAGACTAGGATAATACTTCACATGTCCTTTTTTCCAGAGTTGCCTGAATTACATTCAAAAGAGGCTTCTGCATCCCATCTCCCTACTCGGGATTCATGCAACTGCAAGGGTTTGGCTCTGCTCCCTTCTTCTAGGTGTTAGGCGTCATTTTCCCAGCACTTCTCAGACATGCTAGTAAAAACTGTGGATTTCTGAAGCTCTTCCTTTCTTTGGAATTCTCTGCTTTTTATGGTTCTGATTCTGCTCCATCACAGAATCAAGCTGAGACAGCTTCTAGCTGCCATCTTACAGGATGACAGTCCCAAGCTCTGGTAATTTCCAT